GTCAGTAACCCTATTGCCTAAACTGCCCACGTCATGTCCTTGACAATTGACACACCTTGTGAGATCCACAGCAAGCGCTGTGACTCGGGTCCCTTACACCCTGATGTCTGCTTTGCCATGGGCCGCTGATTATGAAACCCTGCTAAATGCTCTCATGCATAGCATAGCGAATCCTCACGGAGACTGACGAATAGGTTCTATTATTAACCCTCTGCTAGAGACACAGAAATGAGAGCTCAGAGAAGGTCAGGCCCGTGCCAAAGGGCACACAGCTCAAAACCTCCAAGCTGAGGGTTCCACCCAGGTGTGCCTGACTCTGCAGCTCAAGCACCTAAGCTGACCAGCCTTGCCTCCTGAAAGAAGGAACACGGAGGAAGATGCCTGTCAGAAGTCGCCGTCTCCTGCATTGGATTTTTAAAACCAGAGTAAAGTGGAAAAAACATTTCAGAGCACTCACCTCTCTCTTCTCATTTCTTCAGCAGTGTTCTTCTGCCTGCCCTCTATTCACGCCTTCCTTGATTTTTTTCCCCCCTCTCTTTTCTTTTTCTTTTCTAATCACTCAGTTAACAAGTTAGCTTTCTGAAGCTTGGGTCGGTACCTAGTGACTAGGAGCGCAGTAAAGAAATCAGCCGTCACCGATAAAGAAGTCAGAAAGGTTTAAATCAAATCATCCTCCACAACAATGACATTAATTATGCTTTTAACACGTTCTACTGCTTTTTTTTCTCACTTCACGCCACATCTGTGTGAACAATATCCAAAAGATTTACGGTTTTCTTTCGTAATTACAGACATACAGGCTGCACACTTATCAAAATACTTGCTGAGCAATCACACTATACTGCATTCTCTGCCAAAGATTTGTGTTGGCAGCAGTCATTCAAAACAAAAATGTTGAATCAGGACTTGTGTGGCTTCGGAGGGGGGGGAGGAAGTATTCCGACAAATAATTTGCCTGTCAAGAAATATAAAAACAGGAGAGTGTGCATCCTGGCAAATTTTCCAGGAGTGTTATTTTTACAGAGGGGGTTGGAGCAGTGTGTGTCGGGGGGGACAGTGAGCAGGGAAGCTCCAAGCACCAAAGAAACATCTGACATTTGGTTCTTGTGTCTGAGGATAAAATTTAATGAGAACAAAAATATGTCTTTCTAATTCCCCTAAGAAATCATTAAAACATTTTGTTATTCTTAAATGTCTCAAAAATGAATTAGAGCCCCTAAAGGGGCTGTTCTTATGCTACATCTCCATCAGTTAAGGCTCCTTGTTCTCCAACTTGGTGACAGCTGGGGACGTATGTCTCCCCCGCCCCTCCATTTCTGGGGAGCAGAGTTGGAAAATCAGACACATGGAGTCAGCACCAGGCCTGGAACGACCCTTTGGGGAGATGGGGGAGAGGGCCTGACGACCTTCTAGACAGCTCTGAGCCAGACCTGGGAGCTTTCACGGTCCCTGGCTGGCACTGCGGTCCTAGCCCTGTGATTGTGTGAACAGCCCTGTCTCCAGAAAGGTCAGGGGCCCCCAGTGAACTCCAGAAATGGAGACTTTTTTCCAAGCAAGGGCCGTAGCCTCTCCTGACCCTCCAGCACTAGACCTGGGTTTGCTAGACAGGTGACCCGTGATTTGGTCACCCTGCCACCAGAACGCAAACTCCCTGGAGGCTGGGCGCATGTCTGCACCTGTGGTCTCACGGCTAGGTTCCCAGTGTCCAGTTAGTGCCGGGCACCCAGCAGGCACTCAATAAATGCTAACTGAGTGAACAATGCATGACAAGTAGAGGGCTCTACTTGAAATCAAGTACCTTTCCATTGAAATAAACCTTCCTCCCTTTCTGCATCCGAGTCTTATTTCTAATTCATTCAACAAATAGTTATTAGGTGCCTACTGTGTATTAGGTTCCAGTATTTAATTTTAGTGTGACTAGTCCCAGCCTGGGAGAATTTCACTTCTGCCCAGAAAGCCAGACGCATACATGATGATGAGAGTAGCTCAGTCTCCAATTTATAGATGAAGAGACTGAAGCCCAGGGAGGTGAGTTAATTCATCTGTAGCCACCCAGTGAGTAAGAGGTTCAGGTAGGACCAGAACCCAGGTCGGGCCCTGAGCCTGCTGCCCCTGGTGTCACAGGTGAGATACTACGGGGCCCAATGGAGGAGCCTGATGTGGGGACTCCTGGGAGGCATCTCTGGGGTGCATCTGGGGTACACCCTCCAATGTCATCTGTCACTGAGACTGTGGCATGGGGTTTGAAGGGTTGAAAAAAGGTGGAAAATAAGACGGTTTATTCTTCCAGGTTTTCCATATACCTCTGAAGAGAGGGGAAACAAAAAGGCCTCAAGGTATGGGGTCTCTAGACCACATGCCTGGTGTGGTCCTGAGGGTGGGTGATACGACCCAGGCTGCAGACACACAGCCATCTCAGTTTCACGCCATGGGGCCATGTCCCTGAGGGGGTGGACCCCTGAGGGCTGTGCTGTCCAGTTCCAGCCATTCTTGCTGCAAAACTATTCTCACTGAGAAAACCCACGTGGCCAGGCTGCCTTCCTGCAAGCGCAGAACCTGGGCAGAGTGAGGGACCAGAATGGGTCAAGCACGCAGATGCCTCTGTAGTGGGCTGAATGGTGGCCCCCCAAACATATGTCCCCCTAATGCCTGGGATGTGTGAGGTGCCTTCTTTGGAAAAAGGGTCTTTGCAGATGTAATTAAGACTCTTGAGATGACGTCTTCCTGGAATATCTGGGTGGGCCTAATGTCCTCACGAGAGAAAGGAGCTATAGATTTGGGATCCAGATACACAGAGAGAAGAAGGCCATGTGAAGACAGAAGCAGAGACTGGAGTGGTGTGGCTATAGGCTAAAGGCATGTGGAGCCATGAGAAGCTGGGAGAGGTGTGGAAGAATCGTCCCCCGAAGTCTTCAGAGAGAGTGTGGCCCTGCTGACACCTTGATTTCCGATTTCTAGCCTCCAGAACTGTGAAAGAATAAATATCTGTTGTTTCAAGCTCCCCAGTTTGTAGTAATAGACCCAGGAGACTAACACAGCCTTCCCTGAGTAGTCAAGTTGTGACATGGAGCAGACACTCTGGAAATATTTGTTGAGTGTGTCTCCATCTGCCTCTGGCTGTGACACCTTGGGCATCAAACTCAACCTCTCTGTGCCATGGTGAAGGGGACTGGTTGGGTGTTTCCTTGGGAACTGCTAACATGCAGAGGGTAGATCAAGTCTAACTTCTACACCAGGCCAGTGCTTCTCAAACTCTGGTGTGCTCAGAGCTCCTGGGGAGCTTATTTAAATAAAGAAGCTGACTCAGTAGGCCTGGGAAGGGGCCTGAGGTTCTGTATTTCTAACCTTTTCCCAGGCGAAGCCAATGCTGCTGGTCCATGGACCACACTTTGAGTAAAGAGGTTGGAAAACTTCGCTCCTCAGCCAGCCCATGTGACTGAAGGGAAGACTCATGTTATGTGTCTCCTGGGGCTACTGTGACAAAGTGCCACCAGCCAAGTGGCTTAAAACAACATATTTTTATTTTCTGACAGTTCTGGGGCCAGAAGTCTGGAGTCACGGTGTCAGCAGGCTGTGGTCCCACCAAAGCCCCGAGGGGAGAATCCTTCCTGTCCCTTCCCGTTCCTGGTGGTCTCAGGCATTTCTTGGCTTCTGGCCCCATCCCTCCAACCTCTCCGCACCCCAGAGCCATCACCCATGGCAGCACTGATTCCTGCCTCCAGGAAGGACTGGGAAAGGACTGGGGCCTGTCTGGGTGGAGGGAGTTAGCACGTGGGGTCTCTCACCAGCTCCAATATTGTTCAGCAAATCACTACGCCTTTCTGGGCTCCCTTTTCTGAGTCATAAATGAGAAGGTGGCAGAGGATAGGCCATTTTCAAAAAGCAGAACTTTTTACAGAAGTCTATCTCCACATCTTGGGTATACAGTTCAATGTTCTCACGCTGATCACACCTCTGTAACCCACACCCAGAGAGAGAAACAGCAGCTCCAGCCCCCAGAATCCCTCCCAGGAGCTACTGCCCGTCCAAGAGAAACCACTCTCTTGACCTCCAACAGCCCAGGTTCATTTTTTTTTAACTGGAGTGAAATTCCTGTAACATAAAACTTACTATTTTGAAGTGAATAATTCAGGTGGCATTTAGTACACCCACCATGTACAACTACCACCCCTATCTAGTTCCAGAACATTTTTATCCCCTCAGAAGTAAACCCCACACCCATCAGTAGTCACTCTCTGTTCCCCCTTGTTCCAATCCCTAGCAACTACCAATCTGATCTCTCTGTCTCTACAGAGTCAGGCCTATTTTGGACATTTCATTTAAATAGAATCCTACCTACACTGTATGACCTTTGTGGCTGGCTTCTTTCACTTGGCATAAAGTGTCTGAGGTACACCCGTGCTGGAGCATGTGTCAGTATGACATTCCTTTTTATTGAATCACAGTCCGTTGTATGGAGAGACCATATTTTATTTATTTACCCCCTAGTGGACATTTGGGTTGATTCCCCCTTTTGGCCATTGTGAATAGTGCTGACAGATTAATTTTCGCCTGTCTTCATATTTAATGTAAACAGAGTCACAGAGTACATGTTCTTTTTGGTTTGGTTTTCACTGAACATCAAGTTTTGAGGTTGGCTGTGCCAGGCTGGGGAACGGTTGAAATCTTTCCTCCAGTGCCCTACCTTTGCTGGCAGAGGGCACTGGGTGCCATCTGTCCTTTGCAGCTATGGGGTGGGACACCTTGCCAGGAGCCTGCCAGACTCCCTGGTGGCCACTGGAAGGTTGGGGGGGAGATGGAGGAACTGTGTGGGGATGTGTCACACCAGTCTGGGCATAGATGCCCTCTTCCCAATCCCCCACCCCTGCCATGGAGGGCCTGGCCTCCCACAGGAGTCTCAGCCTGTCCCCAGAGCCCACAGCGAGGAGGCCCCTGTGTAACAGTCTAACAGCCATTTCCTGTCATTAATTATTCAATTATGGAACCCAAGTGTTTCTTACCTGGTGCTTCAATTAATTGCTTGTAAACACTCAAGAAAGCAGCTTCGGCCTCCTGACTTCTCTTACTAAGGGCCACCACCTTTGGAAACAAGAGAGAGAGTCATATGGAACCATGGCGTCTGAGTCTGCAAGCATATCTGATCATTTTCTAAGTGTGCAAACATGGATGGGGATGGGAGAAGGGAAATGGAGGTTAAAGATATGAAGTTAGAAAGTCTGGTTTCAAATCATGACTCTACTGCATCCCAGCTGTGTGATCTGGGACAAGTCAGTGGCCCTCTCTGACTTCCAGTTTTGTCATCTGTAAAATTGGGGTTAAAAAATAGAGCCTACCTCCTGAGCCTATTATGGGGATTAAATGAAGCTGCATATAAGCACTGGGCACAGTAGGTCAGTAATAGCTATTATTATTAATATTGTTATTATAGGGTAATGCTGGAGGTTCAAGTATGACACATTTTGAGGGAAAGTGGGACACATCTGGGGAATACTTATTGCCACTGAAAACTAAAGAGAAATTGTTGAAGATCTTGTAAGATACTAAACAGCTTCAACAAGTGCCAAGGGTGATGAACTGACATGAAACAGATCCTGGCACACCAAAGACCCTCAATAAATGCTTCTTGTCTTATGAATACATGAATGACTGAATAACCCAGTTGAGAGGAGCTACATTCACTCACTCATTCCCTTACTCACAGACATTTCCCATCCTGCCAGTAAGACTCCATAAGACACATCTGGGCAAGACATTTCTGGGGCTTAGCACCACCTCATCCCTCCACTTCTGCCTATGAACTTCAAGCTGTGGTCTCACAGTTGCCTTTTGGTAGCCAGTCCCCTGGCATAGTCCTGGGTCTCCCCAGCACATGGCTGGAGTGGGTTCCTGGCACCTGTGGCCACCATCCCTCCCATCCTCGAGGACACTCAGGCTGGGTATCCTCCTTTGGAATGGAATGATTTTCTCCTCCCTGGCACCAATATACCTTTCCCTTTGATGCCAACTTCCTGAATGATGAATCTACTGTGAGTATCTACTTGTCAATCACTCTCTTTCAGAGATGGGCTTTTCTTACCCACCCCAGTGAAGCCATTTGGGGGAGTGTCTGTTATGAATTCCTCCCCTCATAGTAAGCTCTGTGAGCACATTATCTGGTGCATAGAAGGTGTTCAACATAATGTGTTGAATGAATAAATCCAAGAGGGTGGCATCAATTTTAGGTCTTGTCTGTGACACCATTCTGGAGAAATGACAAGGGCCAGTTCTGAGACGGTCTGTTTACAGACGTGGCCAACTGAGGCACAGGCCCTGGAGCCAGGACATTTGGATTCAGATAGCAGCTCCACCACTTACTGTCTGTGTGCCCCTGAGCAGACAGATCATTTCAACCCCTGTGCCTCTACTTCCCCATCTGTAAAATGGGGATAAAACATGAGAACCTCCCCCAAAGGATTGCTGGAGGATAAATGATTTAACACATGTAAAGCTCTGTGTAACCTCCTGGCCTGCAATAGCCCCATAGATATGTTACCGCTTGGAATGACTGACCCCCTTCTATCTTGCCTGTTATGGGGACAGGTTCTTACTGGTGATATAAACAGCTGTGTTAATCTCTGGGGTCCTATGAAGACCACCTGAGAAAGGCCCTGAGTCTACATATAACAGTGCACTCTGGTAAGAAGAACTAAACGGCCACAGTGGTTCCTCTAAGGCCTCCAGTATGGCCGCCACAAGCCACGTGTGGCTACTGAGCTCTTGAAATGTGAACAGTCAAATCGAGATGTGCCGTGAATGCAAAGCACACACTGGATTTCAAAGACATAGTACAAGAAACAGACTGTACTATATATATATATAGCTCATCAACATTTTTTGTGTTGATCACCTGTTGAAGTGATAACATTTTGGATATGCTGGGTCAAATAAAATCTATTATTAAAACTCATTTCACTTGTTTTACTTTTTAAAATGAAGGTACTATGAAATGTAAAAGTACATTCATAGATCACATATTTCAACTGGATAGCACAGCTTGAAGGTTTTACAATGTCCATAGAGAATTTTTAATTTAAGAGAGGTGGAGAGAAATGTATGGTGGATGTTGAGCAAATGATTTCAAAAAAGGTCAGTTATAAAAGCTCCTTGTAAACTCTCTCATTGTTATTCTGAGAACAATCTCTGGTGTCTTACCAGAGTGAATGACAGTCTCTCATTCATTCAACAAACGTTTCCTGAGCACCTGCTAGGTACTAAGCACTGTGGACTGAGAACTCAGTGATGAGTAATGCAGACTCAAACCCCATCCTCATGGGACTCGATAGTCCAGAGGAAGACTGACATTAAATAATATTAATTTTAATCCATTAATTATAAGTGCTAAACATTTCAAAGAAAAAGTGTGGGGTTAAGGGGTGGGCCTTGAGATATGTAAGTCATGGGAGGCTGGGGCAGTTTGGTGGAACATCAGGAATTGTCTCTCTGAGAAGCCATGCAAACAGAAAGAATGTTCTAGAATCTAGGCAAGGGGGAAAAAATCACCAAGTGAGGGTAGATTTTGATTCTGGCTGAGATGGACACGACATCATTCCTACCCTGGGGACTGAGCAGCTGAGGAGGAGACACAGCCATGCCCAATAGGAGTAATAACATGGGAGGAAGTAATGCAAATACTGGGGTCTCTTGAGTAATGTGTGGAGGGGGCAATTTAATTCAGAGTTTGGAAGGCATTCCTAATAAGATAATAATAATACAATATTCAGAGTTTATCATGTGCCAGATGCTCTCACAATTCATGACCATCTCTCTCCATGGACACACCAATCAATGAAAACAGCTGCTGTCCTTATCCCCATTTTACAGATGAGGAAACTGAGGCTCAGTGAGGTTAAGTAACTTGCCCAAAGTCACCCAGTTAGTAAATGGCAGGGCAGGATTCACACAAGACCTGGGGGTCCAAACTACTGTTTTGCATCTCGATGTTGGCCCCTTTCTCCTGGAAAGAAAAGCCATCCCAGACAGTGGGGACAGTTGATCAGATCTCTCATGCTGATGTCATCTATGGCTGAACCAGGTCACAGCCTTCTGTGCTGCTGACCTGGAGCCCATGAAAAGCCACAATTCATGACTTTCAGTGAAACGAAAGCAATTCATCACCTGATCCCTAGATAGAGAATTCCCAAAGAATAGCTAGCAGAAAGTCTGAATGCTTCATTTTACAGTTGTCCATGCTGAGTACGCATGGTGGATGGGGCTTGGGGAAAGGCCCATGAACATTCCACTGAGTTCTAAAGAGGAATTCAGGGCAGGGGAGAGTGGGGGCATGTGCTGGAAGATTCCTTAAATGTTCCCTGCCCTTGCCTAGAGCACTCTCTATTTTCTGTCCATTGCACTTATCAGTTTGTAACGCTGCGCTGTTTATCTGTGTGACTATCTCCTTATGATGTTGGTCTGCCCCATTAGAGTTGCACTGTCCAATACAGTGGCCATTGAAAACTAGAAATGTGGATTTCAAATTCAAATGGATTTAAGTGTAAAATATGGGGTTTCTAAGTCTTAGGATGAAATATCCCAATAATTTTTTGTACTGATTTTACGTTTAAATGATAAAATTGTGGGAGGAGTGAGCTAACATGTAGCAAAGAGTCCCATGGAAGCTGGCGAAAAGCTTTCTAATGAAGTAGATAATTCTCCTTCTAAACACATAGGGTGGCTTTTCCAAAGCCTGCAGCTCTAATGCGTCTCACCACGCCCAGAGCAGGTGAGCTTGGCATAAATAAAAGGCCATGTGCTGCTGCCTCATGACTGGGCCCTGCCACACTGAAGGGTTGGAGAAAAGTGTCCAGAATGACAGATATGGTTTGTGACAGGAAGATCTTTGAAGGCCATCTGGGGAAGAAGGAGGAGGAAGAGGTGGTGGCCAGTTACAGACACCAAGAAGGTCACCGTCAGAAACAGCTCAGTGTCTGACATTGATACCACTCGCTGTGATATAAGAGATGAACACGTGTTTGGTCTCCCAAGTATGAAAATAACAGGTGCAGAACTGGTTAAGTGAGAGGAGAGGCAAAAGCCTGTTCTAGTTGTCTAGCTCTTGTCTGGCAGACTTAGGGCCCCCAGGGGCCGAGCTTCTACGAGCTGTTGGAGACAGTGGTGACAACATGTACTGGCTGTGAGAACTGCTCCATGCCAATTCTTCAGTGAACGGTCAGAGCTTCTGGAAATGGGACCCTTATTCCGTGCTCAGGGCCTTGTCTTTGGAATCTCTCCCAACAATTGAAGGCAGGAGCACAGTTGCTGCCCCATTCTACACAGCAAGAAACGGAGGTTCAGGGAAGCCAAGTCATGTGGCCAAGATGAGAAAACTAGTTGGTGGCAGAGGTGGCATCTCTGCCCAGAATCCTCTCATCCCAGAGACCAGATTTGCAACTAGACACCAGTCTGTTGCACAGTCCCCTAGACGTGCAACGGTGGATCTCTGACCAAGTCTGAATGGATATACAAAGCATATGCACCGGACAACTGGACAAATGCTACAGGAAAAAGTCCTCTTCACCTCAGCTTACCCCAGTATCAACAAGGCATTTGGCCAGTTTTTTCTGTAGAGAATAAACCTGGAAACTAGGGTTCCATGGAACATACTTGGAGAACAGCTTCCTTTTATCACTCAGTCCTAGGCTCTGGGGAGGGTGAGGGTGCTCTGGTTCTGGGACTTGGGGTGGGGGGATCTGGTGTGATAGGATTCTGGAAGAAACTGAAGACATGGGCAATCAAGAGAAGGCAGGTGCTTCAGAGGGCCTCAGAATCAGCATCTCTGAGGAGGTGGCAGAAGGAATGAGATCTGGGGAGAAGAGAAATTGGCCCAGAATGGTGGAGGGTGCCCTTCAGTGCCTTCTGGAGCCTGGTTCTCCTTCTGGGGTTCACTGATCTGGGGGTGTGCATGGGGAGCAAAGAGGAATGAGGGGAGACGGAGAGGAAGGGGCCACAAAGGCGCTGAGAGCTGGGGCAGAAGCCTGAGACCCTCTCTGGCCTTCTGAGGTTTTGGGGGCATTCCCAGAGGGTCACCTGGGGTCCCAGAGAGG